GTACTCGCACTCAGACTGGCTGTTTTCATCGGCCAATCAGAGCGCAAATAAAGCATTATGGACAGACCGACAAATTAAGACCTTTATAATGTTAGAAAAGCTTAAAAAATATATATATATTCCTTAAGGAACAACACCAAAAATCACGCAACACTGGTGCATGTGAGCCATAAGGCAGCTGGAAACACTACGACTCACACCCGCCATCAGCGAACACCTGCGTGAGGCTGCAGGTCACCGCTTTTATAAGCAGTGGGCAGGGCTATTCCGGGAGGTGGGCGGGGCTTGCCGTGGTGACGTACATTGTCGCCGCCGGGCTGCTGCTGGTGTTATTGCTGTGCGACAGCGGCGGGATGCGGCTGGGGATAGGGCTGCTGCGCGGGGCTGGGTCCCTGTTCCGCCCCGCGGCCTCGGCCCGGCCCCGCGGGCTGGTGTACGAGCGGCACGGGGAGCCGGCCGACGTGCTGCAGTAAGGGGCTGGGGGGCTGGGCCGGGGGCTGCCTGGGCCCTGCCGTTTGGGGATGGGCTGGTTGTGTCCCGGGCGAGAAAGCCCCTAGCAGGGGGCAGCGGGTCTCCAGCTCTTCTGCGCGGCCAGGCGGGGGGAGATAATCCTGGAGCCTTTCCCGCTGCTTCCCACCTAGGTCGGCGGGAGCGTGAACTTGCCGGGCATGCGCGCCCCCTCCCTGGTTGCCCTGCTCCGTCCGGTGCTACAGAGGCAGTTCTGGGTTGGAGAGGAGAGATGGGAGCACGTGTGAGAGTGGGGAGCCTGGGTGGACGAGCAGGGTTTGAGCCCATCCTTGCTGTGTGGTGGTAGGTGTGGGGTGGCTGCGCTGGCTCCACCCAGGGGGCAGAGTCCAGTGTCACGGAGACCAGCATCTGCACGGTCAGATTTCTGCACATTTGACATAATTTCCCTCAGGAATGTGGGAGGCACTAAATCTAGGGGCTAAAAGTTCGATACCTCCTAACCCCTGTGACCTTGGTCTTCACTCAACTCCTTTTTTTCTTCCTGTATTATAGGCTCACCACCGGCTCGCAGATGTTGAATAGAAAAGGGTTTCAGGTTGACAGTGTGCCCTTGAGGGCTCAGTTAAAAAAAATACAGTTTGTGATACAGCAGTGTTGATGCAACCTTTTTTAAATGGTTTTATAAGACTTGTAAGAGAAATGGGAGTGTAAAACTAGAAGGTGCTCTCGAGCCATCGAATCCTGTCCCCTGTATTCCCAGACAACTGTTTGTCCAAGTGTAATAAAGGCAGAGAAAATTCTGTTTGTATGGCTCAGCAGTGGAAAAAATGATGGGCTGTATGGGCAAAACAGACTGTACACAAAGTGCTGTTGACAGCATAAAATAAACACCCAGGAGAAGAGAGAAATCTACGTTAACTTTGCCTTTCAGCAATCTGGGTGGTGCTTATAACTTGTGTGACACATTTTCTGATAGATGTGATTTTTCAAGTTGACAGTGTCCTTTGAAGTCTGCACAATCACAGAGTTGTACATAGCTGAGTAGGTAGGACCTGGCACCGGTGGTTCATCCAGTTCATTTTAGTAATTCTTAGACTTTTCACACTTGGCAAGAGGATTCTTTATTTCTCCCAGTTAAGTGTTCTTTGTTGGTTGATGGCAAAGGGTTGTAACCATAGCTTTGCTGTTGATTCTTGTTATATCTTTAGCTGACTAGGTAGTACTGTGCTACTGGATCAACTGGAATTATAAACCTGGGTGTATTTGTAGTCTAATCCAGTTGCCCAGCCATATAATTGCCTTATCTTGGAGTTTGTTCCTCCCCCTAGGATTTTCACTTCTAACTTTTATGTTTTGGTCCGTAAGAGAATAGAACACCATGTGAAGGCATCTGGTATCTGGGCTGTTTGTTTGGGTTTTTTTGGTTTCTTTTTATTGTAAGTGGGGTTGAGCAAACTGAGAAACTGATGCAGGTCCAACATATTTCATCCAGACATTTAATACCCGAGCATCAGGGTTTGTATTGGCTCCCTTTGCAAGCTCTTCATTCTTTTTGTTGAAGGAAGGTGTACAGGGCAGTCTGGCCTTGTTGAAGAGGGAACAGTCAGCCTTGTTGAAGAAGCCTGGCTGTGAGGTATTTGAACGATGATGGTGTGTCCCACTGACAGATTAATACTCCTAAAAAGCAAGCAGAAAGGTAACAAACTGTGATGGAAAATGGATGAGAGCCAGGAGAAGGATGCAGTTCTGTGTGAGGATCTCCACAAGGCAATGCTTTTGCCCAGGCATTTTGAAGCTAGAGATTACTCATCTGGATTTCAGCAGGCTGATACTGCAGGGATGGACACTTGATATGAATTACTTAATCCAAGATGCTGAGCAA